GCTGCTGATGGTCTTCGCCGAGGGGGACTTCCCCGAGGTGAGTGCCGGGGCCCTGGCCACGGCCACGCACGGGCTGCCGTGCTTCCCGTCTGTGCGGGAGCTGCCGAGGTTGTGTGCCCACGCTGGCCTCGCGGGGTCTCCCAGCACAGTGTGGGGTTCAACGCGGTTCTCACGCTGCCTTTGGGAGGGCGGGCCTCGATGGTACCGTCTGGGTCCTGGAGAATGGCATCTGCCTGGGAGGGTGTCACAGGGCACCCTGGGGGGTAGCACCGCCTGGCTAAGGGGAGCTGACCTCTGGAGCCAGGCTGCCTGGGTTCGAATAATGACTCTGCCATTTCCAGTTGAGTGCCCTTGGGCAAGTCCCTTACCCTCCCTCTGCCTGTGTACTTAGCGGCATGATAGGAATAGTGATGGTGCCCACCTCCCAGGGTCACTGTGAAGAGTGAGTAATACAGATCACCTGCTCCGAGCCCAATCTGCAACAGGAAGGACTCACTTTTAAACATGGCCAATGTCTTTCTTGGGAAACATCCTATTTTCTCCCCCAGTTTTGCCCCCCTCCCACTGCCCCCACCCCCAGGCTCTGCCCTGGAGGGTAAGAGCACACCAGAGTCAAGTCAGACAGCTGGTTGGCACCTTGGCACTCCTCTGGCCCTCAGTAACTTGCCTCTCTGAGCCTCAGTTTCCTCATACAACCTCATGGGGTGGAAGGAGCCAGGGCGGTGGAGAGGTGGAGTTAAAGGAAGGCTGAGAGATGACCCATCTGGTACCTGGCATGTCCTTGGTGCTCAGGCGTGTTGACCAGCATGCTCACTGACTGTCCAGGCGGACTTGCCCCGCACCCGGACAAGGGCCGGACCCACCCACCGTGCCGCCTCTCCTGGGGGCCATGGGTTCGCTTTGGCGTCTCTTCTCCCTCCTGCCTCTCCCAGTGCCCTGCAAAGCCCTGGGTTGCGCAGGCGCTGGGAAATGGATGGGGGCGGGGGCAGAAGAGACCAAGCCTAGTAACCGTGTCAGACCTTTCTTTCCATTGTGGCAGCATCGAGCTGACGCTTGTGGGTTACAGAGCTGATGTCACTTCCTTTGGCCAGTCACTTTTTTTTTAAGTTGTGAGGAATGTGTCTCCAGGCCCCCAGATGCTGCCCAGGAGAACCCAGCAATTATAGCACAGTGGGGAGAGCACCCCAGAGGGGCCAGGCCTGTGGGTCCCAGGAGAGGGGCTGGGAGGGGTGGGGCCTCACCACCAGTGTCCTGGGCTCTGAGACCAGTGTCCTTGATGGTGAGACCCACCCCAGTTTCAGAGAGGTTACAGTATGGAACTGAGCGTCTCACCGTTGATGAAATGTGTGTATTGAAGGGCACACGAGCTGGTCAAGGGGAAGGACGCATGTTTGTCAACTGCCCTTGTCTAGGCTCCTCCCTATTTAGGGGCCCTGAATTCACAGGAACCCTTCTGCCTCCAGACACAAGAGAGGCCCCTTCATTTAAAAGGAACACAAGGGCCCTAGCTGGTTTGGCTCAGTGGATAGAGTGTCATCCTGCAGACTGAAGGGTCATGGGTTCGATTCCAGTCAGGCTCGATCCCCAGTTCTGGTTGGGGCGCATGCAGGAGGCAGCCAGTCTCTGTGTCTTTCTCACACTGATGTTTCTCCCTCTGTCTCTCCCCCTTCCTTCCACTCTCTCTAAAAATCAATAGGAAAATATCCTCAGGTGAGGATTAACAAAAATAATAAAAGAAACATAAGATCTAAGCGTTGGAAAGGCCTTCATTTTACAGGTGGAGAAACCGAGGCCAGGGAGACAGAGTCTTCCCTTGGAGCACGGAGCCCAGCAGTGGCAGTGCTGGCCTCCAACCCAAGTCTCCCACCCCTGACCAGGACACTCTCCGCAGCCCCCAGTGCTCTGCCTGCCGGACCCAGCCTTCTCCTGCTCCTGACCCTGGATGCCTCCTCCTGGCAGTCCTCCAAGCCCAGAGAGCCTGGAGCTAGGAGGCTTGGGGCCCCATCTCCCAGGCCTCTTGCCTGCAGCAAAGAGCAGAGAGCAGGCTGGGATTTGGAGGGGCTTCAATGACCTTTGGCTGTACCCCAACCTGGGGTTCAGGGGAAGGGGGAGCAGAGGCTGGGGTTTCCTGGCTGACATTTATGGCAGCAACCATTCCCACAGGAGAGTCCACAGCAAAGCCAGCTGAGTCTTCCTCCACACAGGGACTGCCAGGGGTATGCTGTCCAGGGAAGCCCCTAACTCACCTCTCCCCCCCGCCTCTCTCATAGTTGTGTTGATTTGAGAGAGGAAGAGAGAGGGAGAGAAAGAGATAAAAACATCAGTGATGAGAGAGAATCATTGATTAACTACCTCCTGCATGTCTCCTCTGGGGATTGAGTCCACGATCCAGGCATGTGCCCCAACCGGGAATCAAACCATGACCTTCTGGTTCATAGGTTGACATTCAATCACTGGGTCACGCTGGCCAGGCCCGACTCCTCTCTTGAGCTATGTCCCCATTCTGTAGTGATCAATCTCCTGTCTGGGAGCCCCATGAGGGCAGACCTAGGCCTGAGTCATCCCTGCCCTGGCTGGGCCCAGGCTGGGCCCTGCCTTCCTGCAGAGGACAGCTCAACAGATAAGATTAAGTGCTATTGACATTCTGGACAGAGTGACCCTGTCTAGGGGTTCAAAGAACAAAAGGGAAGATGTAAACAGAGTCTCCAGGATAACATTCCAGATTAGGGGAAGGGTTGTGACAATTACTAATCAGAGAGGAGCAACCCAGCCCCACGTCATAGAATGGGACTTTCCCTGCTCAGTCCTGACATCAGGGGCGAGGGTTGCTGATCTCAGGGGAGGCAGGTGACTGAGAACAAACCTGCCTCCATCTTTAGCCAGCTGTCCATTATGTTACTTGGGGCAAGTCACTTCCCCTCTCTGGGCCTCAGTGTCTCATCAGGAAAATGGGGGTAGTACTGACTTCCCAAGGCCGCAGGGATCAGAGATGGTGCGGGTAAACGGACACCCACAGTAAATCCCTAGAGATTGTGGGTGACATGTTATCTCCACAGGCATTTGCAAAGTGCTGACATGTGTCTGCCTGCACAGGACCCCTCTACTGGTGAGTGGGTGGCCAAGCTCGGGTCTCGCCTGGCTGGTTTGGCTCAGTGGATAGAACGTCGGTCTGTGGACTGAAGGGTCCCAGGTTTGATTCTGGTCAAGGGCACACGCCTGGGTTGTGGGCTCGATCCCCAGTGGAGGGCATGCAAGAGGCAGCCCATCAATGGTTCACTCTCATCATTGATGTTTCTCTCTTTCTCTCTCTCTCTCCCTTCCTCTCTGAAATCAATAAAAATATTTAAAAAAAAAAAAACTCAGGTCTCACCAGGCATCATGCCCTCCAGTTACAGGCTGGTGGGGACAGGAGCTCAAGCTGGAGGGATTGACAGTGGCTGGTGTGGACACTGTCCCTGGCAACCAGCTTTCTAGGTGACGGACACGTATGTTGGACCTCACCTGCCAGCCATTTTTCCCTGTCACACTGTGAGGTGACACTCCTCTCTTTTAACCAGTGAGGACACTGGCCTAAGGTCACATGGCTGGCGAGGGCCAGAGCCAGTCCTAAGCAGTGCTCCTAGCCACCATCTCACACTGTCCCCCGCCAGGCCAAGGGCCCAAGGGAGAGGGACCTTGGACAGGCAGAGAGGCATGGGGAGGTGTGTTGGAGGCTTTTCTGTTAGCAGAGGGGGTGAGAGGTGACTAGAGTCCAGGGTGGGTTGAGCCCCTACCCCAGGGCCATCCTCAGTGTCTCCATCTGCCCCAGCTGCTGGCTGGAACTTGCCTTTTTCCCCACCCTCCCCCTGCAGCTTCCCAAGTGCCCTGGAGGACTGCACCTACCCAGACCACCGAGAAGGCCTGACTCAGAGGGCCAGTCCCAGGCAGGCCCCACCCAGCATGGGAAGTAGGGGTCTCCCTGGCTGTCTTTCCTGAGCAGCCCTCGGCAAGTGAGCAAGGCCTGGGGACACCCAGCTACAGCGGCCAGCAGGCCCCTCCGGGCAGAGGGCTTGTGTAGCGGAGTTCTGAAAACCTTGATTCCTGCATTTGTGTACAAAACCTGTCCTATATATTTATTTTTTAAAAATACATTTTTATTGATTTCAGAGAGGAAGGGAGAGGGAGAAAGAGATAAAAACATCAATGATGAGAGAGAATCACTGAAGAGATAGTAATATCAATGATGAGAGAGAATCATTGATTGGCTGCTTCCTGCATGCCTCCTACTGGGGATCGAGCCTGCAACCCAGGCATGTGCCTTTGACTGGAATCGAACCCAGAATCCTTCAGTCTGCAGGCCGACGCTCTATCCACTGAGCCAAACTGGCAAGGGCCCAAACCTGTCTCATTTCCACTCACTCTACCTTCAGGGAGAGGGAGTAAGCCCCAGGCCCGGGCAAAGGGGAATCTGTCCTGCGTGACCTTCTCTTGAGCCCAGAGAAGGCAAATCAAAAGGGCAGAAACCAGGGCCCGTGGGAGGGGACCCGGGGAAGGTGGCATTGGGCAGGGGTCTTGGTTGGATTGTGAGAGGTTGACAGGCAAAGACAACATGCTCTGCAGGCAGGCCCTGAGTCTTGTTCATTCCGGGCCCTGAGTCTTGCTCATTCCAGGCCCTGAGTCTTATTCGTTCCTTGTTCCCAGTGTCCAGAACTGGACCTGGAGGTGTTATGACTGAATGCATGAATGAACAAGCGGACGGACAAATGTGGGTTAATGTCGTTCCGGGAGGAGGGGACAGCATGCAGGAAGGCTCAGAACTGGTCCCGTCCCCTGCCCAGGGGGACAAAGATAAAAATAACAGTGGCCGGCATGTGTGGCGTGTTTATTTCGTGCCGGGCCCTGTGCTAAGGGCTCTGTGCAAGGATCTCACAGAAGCCTTGCAGCAACACGCTGTGCTGGGCGCTCCTCACGTTCCCACCTCACATCCGAGGAGGGCAGGCCGGGGGCCGGTGTCTTGTCGGGCACACACTGCTGGGAAGTGGTGGCTCTAGGCCTCAACCTCACCAGACTACGTCCAGAAACTACCACCCTCTGCCGACTCCCAGTGAGAGCAGGGCTGCATGCATTCCTGGGCTCTGGGTTGGCACTGGGGCTGCTCCCCTTCAGGAGCTGTCCTCACAACCTCCCCGTGCCCCTTCTTCCTCAGAGCTACACACCCACGGTGTTTGAGCGGCTCAGCGTTAATCTGCAAATGAAGGGCAACCCTGTGGAGCTCCAAATCTGGGACACAGCAGGTAGGTGTGCAGGGCCCCAGGAGGGACAGGGTGGAAGGAGGGGCCCAGATGCTGGGAGCCAAGCCCCACTCCCTTCCTTCTGAACCGGGGAGGTCCAGCAATCTCCAAGGGACAGGTGTGGGCCAGGATTAGGGCCCCCAGGAACTGAATCCCCCTTGCTTCTGTGCCTGTGTCCACTGCCTTCCCCACCCCAGGGCGGCCGGCCATGCCCTGGAGACAAGGAAGAGTCCAGAGCTCTATGCTCTCAAGGGGTGGACTGTTCCTGGCCTCAGCATTCCACCGTGGCTTAGCTTCTGTAAGATCTGCCTGACCTTGACCTCTGCCCTCCAGCCTCCTGGCCTTGCCCACACAAGGGGTCAGAGTCATCTTTACGTCAGAGCTCAAAGCCAACCTCAGTCCCAGCAGCCCCTTTACCTTGGGTTGGCAAAGATATCTTTGCTGGGGAACCGTCTTGCCTTTCTCCTCACCCCATGCCCCAAGTCCTGGGCAAAGCAGTCCCTCCAGGCTGGGCCACTACCTTGCCCCAGCCTTCCAAATGGTCTCACCCCGGCCAGGCTGGCACATCCTGCAGGCAGGCCAGGGGAGGAACACTGCCCCAAGGGGCACATTCATGTGGAATGGCAACCTAAGTGCCAAATTGGTGTTGGACACTGAGAAACAGAACTAGACACACAGACACACACAGACACACAGACACACACAGATACACACAGACACACAGACACACACGTACGGGCGCTCTAGTGGGATCCAGGGTTTGATGTTGGGGAGGTGTTGACAGTGGGCAGGAAATCTGGAGGGAGTGGCCACACCTGTTCTACAGGACAAGTCGATTATGACCGCCTGCGGCCCCTCTTCTACCCTGACGCCAGTGTCCTGCTCCTCTGCTTCGATGTCACCAACCCACACAGCTTTGAGAACATCTTTAACCGGGTAGGTACTTGGGGGGTGGGAGGCAGAGCCCCCAAAGCCAGGCCACACTGCTCCACCCCCACTCTTTTTTCCCCCGCTACCACCCCCTCTGGACCCAGCAGACTCTCAGAGCTCAGCAGGCCCTGGATGACATCAAGGCCAGTGCCTTTGGCATGTATACGGGGAAACCCGGCCCAAAGGTGGGCAGCAACTTGCCAGGGGTTCCACAGGGATTTGGTGGGAGGGTCTGGCCTCTGACTCCCAGTCCAGTGCTCCTCGCCTGCTCTCTACTGCAGACTCAGAACACTGACCCTGCCTGAGAATGCTGGGTGGCCCAGGGCCCCTGAATCTCCCCTGCCTGGGCCTGACCAAGGCCACGTGAACAGTCAGCTTCCAGCAGCTCTCAGCCCCCCCCCCATCTGTGTGGCTGTTGCCTCTCAGCAGTCTCCCAGGATGCCCCCCAGCTATGTCAGGGCTTCCAGAAGCTGCGCACAGGTGTCAGGGCCTCGTTGTGAATGGCGTGCTCCAGGTTTCTTCGGAGCACAGCCGGTGACAGCATTCGTAATGTTAACAACGATGGTGGCAGCATTAGAACTTACCAGGTGCCAGGCACTGTTCCGGACACATATCTATTTACTCATCTGACCCCCTTACAACCTTAGGGAGCAGATACTATTATTATCCCCACATTGGATCCCTTGCTTCAAGAAACACGTCTATTGCAGTGGTAACGCGGGGATTTGAACCCAAGCGTTCTGCTCCACGCAGTCATTCAGAAGTAATGACTGAGTGCATCTGTGTGCCAGGCACTGTTCTAGGCACTGGGGACCAGATGCGATGGTGGTGGCTGGGATGGTGCTGGCCGAGGGGGTAGTGAGAGGTGGGTGGATATTGAATCTCTTTGAAAGGCAGAACCATCAGGATTTGCAGGTGGTTTGGACATGGGTGGGAGAAAGCTACTTGGACCAGAGTAACTGGAAGGGGGACTTGCCATTTCCCAAGATGAGAAGGAGCAAGCTGGGAGTGGGGAGGTGGGAGGTGGGAGGCGGGGGCCTGGAGGACATCCCAGTGGAGGTAGCAGGTAGGCAGGTGGAAGTATGAGTCTGCAGTTCCCAGGAGAGGGCTGGGCTGGGCTGGACAGAGCCATGGACTCAGGGTGGTCACCTGGAGGGCAGGAGCAGCTAGAGGAAAAGTACACCCACAGCTTTGTGAAGGGGGTGCTGGTAAGACCCGAGAAGAACCAGGAGAGCGGGGTTTTGGGGCGCAGTGCAGACCCGGTCTTGGAGGAGGGTGCGATGATTCCCAGTGTCAGGGTTCAGGGAGGGGGAGGGCTGAGGACTCATTTTGGATTTAGCAGCGTGGAGTCACGGAGGAGACCCTTTCTGGGGGCAGTTTTGTGGAGGGCTGGGATGTGGGGAGTCTGCCCAGGACCCCACACGGGCCCCATGTGGCTCCAGGAGCTAGCCGTGTGCTGCCACCTTTTCCTGCACGGACACACAGAGCAGGCGTGCCCTCCTGGGCTGCGGATGCCAGGCTCCGGGGCTGTAGTCCAGCCTGAGTAACCTGGAGCCTCACATTCCAAAGAGCAGCTGACTCGGGGTGAGAGGCGCCCTCCTACAAGCCAACAGCTGCCGCGATCAGGTTAGAAGCTGCTTTATCTTCACAGGATCACCTATTTGCTTACATATTTTACCCCATTGAGGAGGGGGCCATGGGAGCCCTTACCTTGTAGATAGGCAGGGTTCTAGAGGGAATGGGAGCAGGGCACTGGCCCAAATCCTGCCACTTCCAGTTGTGTGACCCAGGCCGAGTTATATAGCCTCTCTGGGCCTCAGCTACCACGCGTGTATAATGGGACGGACGATGGGCTTGCTTCATAGGGACCTGGGGGGTCAATGAGTCCACAGGTGTGAAGTCTTAGGGCCTGGCACAGAGTAGGTCTCCCTGGACGTTGGCTGTGCTGATGACCGATGATCGAGCTGCGTGGGGAGCAGGAGGACAGCCCATTCTCCCCGCTGCGGAGACGGAAGTACTCCCAACGGCTAACACCCCCCCACCCCCTCCCCTGCAGTGGTACCCAGAGGTGAATCACTTCTGCAAGGAGGTGCCCATCATCCTCGTGGGCTGCAAGACGGATCTGCGCAAGGACAGGTCCCTGGTGAAGAAGCTCTGGAAAAATAAGCTGGAGCCCGTGACCTACCACAGGGTAGGAAACCCAGCCCAGGGCAGGGGAGCAGGAGAGGGAGCCTCAGGGCGTGTTGACCAGCACGGCCTCTGGGCAGGCAGTGCCAGATGTCCAGCTCCCCCGGGGTGTGGGCGAGGGAGGGATCGGAGACTGCTGGTGCTCGGAAGTGGTACCTAGAATATTCCGGAAGGTTCCGGCTGTGGAAGGGAGAACAGTGATGTGCACATCAGAGAGTTCTACCCCCCCACACCCCCACATCACAGGTGGGGGCTGAGGCCCAGAAAAGACCCCAGCTCTTCGGTCTACAGTCCCCTCTCTGCTCCACACCCGGGAAGTTAGTCGGTTCTTTGAGACGCAGAGACCTAGCCCCGAACTGAGGCGGGAAGCCGAGGAAGCCACGAGAGCACTTGTCCAGCCCGGGGAGGAGCCGTGGGGAGCCTAGAAACACTCACCTTCCGCTTTTGCCCTGGAGACTCCCAGGAGAGCCAGGAGGGCTGGGAGGGCTGGGAGGTGCCCCAGCAGCCCCACCTCACGGCATCACTCCCCATCAGGGCCAGGAGATGGCGAGGTCCGTGGGAGCAGTGGCCTACCTGGAGTGCTCGGCGCGGCTCCGGGAAAACGTCCACGCCGTCTTCCAAGAGGCCGTGGAGGTGGCTCTCAGCAGCCGCAGGCGCAACTTCTGGCGGCGGATCACCCGGAGCTTCTGCGTGCTGACCTGACAGCGTGGGCCCTCCCTGCCCAGTCGCCCAGCAGCGCCGGACGGAACTGTGCGCTGACCTCTGCCCAGTTCCCAGGCTGTCACCCAACCACCCTTCAGACCCGTGGTCAGCACAGAGGCCAGGCCCCTCGTGCTGGGGCTGAGATCCCTGAACTGAAGTGAAATCTCCCTGAGACCTGAGGAAGGGGGTTCCCTGGGCGCCCCCCTGCCCTGTGGAGGGCTAGTCCTGGAGACCCCACGCGCCCAGCCCTGGACCGCACATCCAGGAGTGGCCACGCAGCCTGGGCCACCTCGCGGCTGTTCTGGGGGCTGCACTTTCCGCTCCTTCAGGCAGGACCTGGCGGTCCCAGGACCACTCCCACCCCCACCTGGGCCAGACTCACACCTGGCCCCTTACTCCTGCCCTTCCCAGTGGTAACTGTAAGGACTAAAACAACATCGCCTGTCAGTTGTGGCACGCCTCTTGTTTCAAAATGCCTTTACACACATGTTATATGGTGGATCAGCGCCCACCCCGTGTAGGCGCTGGGGTGGAACTGCCTGGAGCCAGGCCCCGCCCTTGAACCCGCCCTTAGCTTCTTCACTTTCTTGGAGAGCTCCAGCACCATGTGTCATGGTCCTGTCTGTCTCCCAGCGGGCGGCCAGCTTCCCTAGAGCTGGTTTAGTTGGAATGTCCGGTGCCTCAAGCAGTGCCTGGCGCACAGCAGCACAGTCACAGCCCTGCCCCAGAAGGAAGTCCAACTCCTGCAGCCGGGAACTTGGGCTCTCCTGCATCTGACCACAGCCCACCTTCCCCATTGGATGCCCGGGACCTCTGACACCCCAGCCACACCGGGAGCACTAACACCCCTACCAGCCTCCAAGCCTTCGGCTGTCCCCCCCCACCTCGGCACATCCTTCCTCCCAGTCACTGCCTGTTCACCCCCGAGTCCTTCAGGGTCCAGCTCAGACGCCACCTTCTCCAGCAAGCCCTTGGATCTGCCGGCTTCCTCACCCCCACTCACTGCGCCCACACCAAGGCGCCCACTGCCTGTGTCAGCCCCTCGGCTAAGGCCCCGGACTTTCTTCCTGTGCCATGAGAGAGCCCAGCCTAGACTCCTGAAGATGACAGGTGTGGCGGCGGGACCAGGTGTCTGGGAGGGTGGAGGTGGGAGCGGGAGACCAGTTGGGCAGCTGCAGTCGTCCAGAAACCAGAAACAAGCCACCACAAGTCGAGGCCAGGTGACTCTGGGTGGCAAGGATGGACTGCCAGAAGGGTGGGGACGCTGGAAGGGAGGGAAGAATGCTGGCCTCTGCCCTGCATGAGAGACCTGCAGAGAGGCGGGGGTGTCCGGTGGCTGGTCTCCAGCTGCAGGCCACATGCAGCCATCGGGTGTCGCAGGAGGACACAGTGAGCACTTGGATACACCCGCTGAGAGCCAGGGCTGGTGTTAGGGCTGGTTGTTATCCTCCTCAGCTGCCAAACCTCTCTCTCAATTCCTCACAGCCCCACCTGGCAGGGCAGGCACAGCCTGGCACGTGGAAGCCAGGAAAGGCAAGCCCAGAGGCCAGCAAGGCTGAGAGCCACAAACCACAGTCTGCGTTTCAACTTACTGCCTCCGCCGGCCTCAAAGGGCAGAGGCAGGGACCCCAAGGCCATGCCTCCAGGACAGGCCACTCCCTGGCATCATCGGGTGGACAGGGTGGGGCACGCTCTGTGAGTCATGACGCTTCCCTCTCCCCTCTGCCTGGGCAGCACCTGGGCCCCACATCTGGGTGTGGGGAGCGGGTGGTGGCTGGCAGATCACCCCATATCCGGTCACCTTCTTTGCTCTCTCTGACCTCCTGCTCCTGTGGAAGGTGAGGACTCCTGGTCCCCAGGAAGTCATCCCGAAGCCAATGGCATAGGAATCAGGGAGTCGACAAAGCCTGTGACCGGCTGGGGAGCAGAGAGAGATCCGAAACTGACTGACTGACCACCCGCCCTACCTTCCAGGGCTTGACCTCCAAGTTAAATGCTTCTGATTAAGGTCGGATTTGAGAAAGTATGAGATCTTCCTGAGTTCAAATCCTGGCTCTGCAGTTCACCAGCTCTGTGACCTTGGAGGAGTCCCTAGGACACTTATTTGGAAAATGAGGGTGATTGTAGGACCTACCTCTTGGAGGTTGGATTAAATGAGTTCACAAAACTAGTGCTTATTCACTCAGCGTTCACTGCTACCTGGAGTTACTAACTGTGACATGAGGGTCATTATTTACTCGGCAAGGTTGTCGCAGTTTCTGCACAGCAGGAGCAAGCACGGACCTGTTGGGTGGATACTGGTCTCCTTTTCCCAATCTGGGTCGCCACACCCTAGGAGAAGGGGTGGGAGCTCAGACCCTCCTGGTGGCAAGGACGGGAGCCTCAGAGGGGAGTGAGCTTGGAGTATGAGGCTCTTTGTAAGGCCAGCTGGACCCTGTGAGGGTCATTATTTACTCGGCAAGGTTGTCGCAGTTTCTGCACAGCAGGAGCAAGCACGGACCTGTTGGGTGGATACTGGTCTCCTTTTCCCAATCTGGGTGGGGGGGGGGGGGGGGTTGGAATTCCTCAGGGTTCATGTTTGCAGAGGAGACACCAAGCCTGGCCCATGCTGAGCACAGGGCGGGGGCTGGGAAAGCGACAAGGCCGAGGCCCTTGCTTTCCACGCCTCCATCCTCCGTGGGAGCTCCGATGTGGACACAGCAGCTGGGGAGGGCAGCGTCCAATAGTCACTCGGCCGCCTTCTCCGGATACTGAGATAAACAGGATGGGAGGTGGGGGTAGGAGGACCAGGGAGGTGTTTCCCACTGAATGAAAGACAGCACTCAAAAGTTCACCCGCCGCACCCATGCATCTGAAACAGGGTTGTTCTAGGACTCTCCTGTCTGCCCAACAGAAGGGCGTCAGAGTCCTGTCTGGCCAGGCCCTGGAGGTGACATGCTGCATGACCTACCTCATTCTGTCCTTAAATCCCCACTTTACAGCTAAGGAAACAAGTGCAGAAAGCTAAGGGCAAAGCCAACAGCAGTGAGTGGGGAGCTCGGACACAGGATGAGTCACGACTCCGGCTCCTGACCTCCCATGGGCACTGGCAGGCGGCTGGACCTCCACCAGCAGAGGGCAGCAGGGCCCACGGAGAGGAGCCTTTTCCGAGGCTGGCAGGGATGCCAGGTGAGCAGGTTTGTTCCATTGCTCCTGCCTGGGGCACTTTTGGTGACATACCACTCCCCAACAGCTGTCACCCACTGAGCGGTGCCCACCCTAAAATCCTAGTGAAGAGAAAGCAGGCTCAGAATGGCCGAGTGACTGGACCATTCTGGCCAGCCTGGCATGCCGTGCTCAGTTTGTTATGGTTCTGGGTCAGAATTTAGGGTTTGAATGCTGACCGTACAATTAACACCTCCTACGATTATGATGGGCTGGAATGAGATCAAAGGAACCATCTTGGCCAAGCACTTCCCGGGGGGCCATGTCGTTACCCAGGCTTGCTTTTTCCTCTGTGCTGCACCTAGGGAGGCCAGTGGGGACTGAGGGGTCCCTGAGATTTCCACCCCAGAATCTGTGACGTTTGGGGAAATAAGGGAACCCAGGGTGTGCTCCCAAAATGTAAAGTGCTGTGAGCCGGCACCTGGGGCCAGAACTATCTTGGGGAGCTGGCAGGAAGAGGATGATCTGGAGGACCAGCTCACACGAAGCCCCAGATCCTGTGATGGGGGGCGGGAAGCTGCTGAGAAAGTTTCAAACTCCCCCCACCCATTCCCAACAGCTGAAGGAGCTGAGTCATGTGACAACGTAAAGTCATGTGACCAAGGGGTGACACCACTCAGAGCTTCCCTCTGGCCCAACAATGCCACCCTGGGCTCTCCTCCTTTCAGTTTCCCACCCCAACTCCTCCGCTACACACCCCCACCACCAAAGAAGAAGAGGAAATGGCCAGATAAAAAGTATTTTACAAATGCCATGTGCCCTAGGCCTGTTGTAGGCAGTGGGAACGGCCCCAGGAGACCAATGGGGTCAGCTCAAACCTGGGTTCCGCAACCTCGGTAACGGGGTTCTGGCTAGAAAAGAATTCAGACCCAAACTGTAGGAGAACATTTATTGGGTAAATTACAGAGGTAGAAAAAGTAATTCCTGGAAGAAATGGGCTTAGGAAACAAGTTCTAGAGGTAAAGGAGGGGCCCTTGGACTGGGGAGTGAGGAAGCTAAGGTAACCCTCACCTGAGGATGGTGGGGGGAGCAGGGAAAGGGAAAGGCAGGGGCGTGCTCCCGTGGATTTTAGGGAAGGTCCCAGGGGAAGATCGCCATAGAATATTTAGTAGCTTTCCAGGTGTGTCCATTCAGGGTTGTGATTGCCACTGATCGATTGGCTGGCACCAGGGCAGGGCACCATTATCAAATGCAGCTGTTGCGGAGGTCAGCCAGCTGGTTTTGTGTGTGGGCCGGGAGCTGAAATACAACTGAGGCATAGATGTTATCTCTAGGGAGGAAAGGTCAGGGGGTCTTGTTAGCATCTAACCAGTGACACGCTAGGGGAGGAAAAACCCGGGGGTGAGGTCCCACCCTACCAGTGCCTGTGGCTAGGCTCCCAGGCTTTCCACCCTGCTGACCTTCTGTATCTGGCCCATCATCCTTGCTCTGCTCGTGTCTAACTGCCTATCACAGGTCCATCTCTGCAACTTCCCTTTCACCACCTCCCTCCTCCTGCTTTCTGGGACCTCCCCCCAAATAAGTTCCGCTGTTTGTCGGTTCTTGTATTGGTAGCCTATGCCGTTCATTCACAATTCTTTGTTGAGCACTCACTACAAAATCCTTGTCTCCTGGTCTCTCCATCCTCTGCGCAGCCTTGCTGGGAGGCAGCATCCTTCCCTTTGGGAAGCCGGACCACCACCATCCTCTCACTCTCTCCTGACCCCAGCAGGGAGGACATCACCAACGCCCATTCCTCCTGCTCGCTCACACCACACCGCCCCCTAGGACTCTGAATCTGGGTCAAGAGACAAAGAGGGACGTTTAAATTCATTGTGATGACACTGGCAGTACTTTTTTTAAGCAAGTCTGTAGACGTTACTACATGCCAGATGGTTCCAATATTAACTCATTCAACGCTCATAACCACCCTATAACGTAGGTGTATTTACCAGCAGCCCCATTTTACAGATGATGAAGAGACTGAGGGACAGAGAGGCTGAGAAACTTGTCCGATGTGGCAAGCTAGCAAGTGACAGGTACAGGATTTGAGCCTGGGCTGGATCTATGCAGCATCCAGAGAGGGGTGGGGATGGCTAGCCGCCAGGCAGCCTCCAGGAGGTGTAAAGGGTGCTGTGATGGCTGGCCTGCTCCCAGCGCCCTCACTTCCTCCACCAGCCTTCCCATAAGGCCCTTTCCCACCCAAATTAATCAGCCTCTTCTGATATTCACACCCTCGGGTGGTTGAGATCCCATATTAAGGAAAAATGAGAAAATATTAAAAGAATAGGATTTCAACCACTCTGAGCTGGTGTGGCTCGGTGGTTGGAGCGTTGTCCCAAGGATTCCAGGGTTTGATTCCTGGTCAAAGGCACATGCCGGTGTTTCTCAGCAGCCCCATTTTACAGATGATGAAGAGACTGAGGGACAGAGAGGCTGAGAAACTTGTCCGATGTGGCAAGCTAGCAAGTGACAGGTACAGGATTTGAGCCTGGGCTGGATCTATGCAGCATCCAGAGAGGGGTGGGGATGGCTAGCCGCCAGGCAGCCTCCAGGAGGTGTAACGGGTGCTGTGATAGCTTGCCTGCTCCCAGTCCTCTCACTTCCTCCACCAGCCTTCCCATAAGGCCCTTTCCCACCCAAATTAATCAGCCTCTTCTGATATTCACACCCTCGGGTGGTTGAGATCCCATATTAAGGAAAAATGAGAAAATATTAAAAGAATAGGATTTCAACCACTCTGAGCTGGTGTGGCTCGGTGGTTGGAGCGTTGTCCCAAGGATTCCAGGGTTTGATTCCTGGTCAAAGGCACATGCCTGGGTTGCAGGTTAGATCCCAGCCTGAGGGGAGCTGAGTGTAGGAGGCAACGATCTCTCTCTCTCCTTTCTCCTTTTTCCTCCCTCTCTCTAAAAAAAAAAAAAAATCAATGAAAAATAATACTATATCCTCAGGTGAGGATTAACAAAAAAAAAAAGGATTTAAATTACTCTCAGTTTCATGGTCAACCAAATTAAATGACTTGATAATTTGCATATTTTCTTTTCCTCTATTTTTCTATGAAAAAAATTTTGCATAGTTACAATCACA